GGCTATCGACACTGAGTCCGCCTAGGCAATCAAAAACAACGTGACACGGTGACATTTCCTTCCACCGGCGGCCTCTCGGGCCGCCAATCTCACTGGCTTCTGCAATCGCCTGACCTGAGTGGCATTGTTAAACCCGTGCTAAGACAAGCAGTACCGTAGCAAAATGAACATGATGCCGGTCGTTCTCCGTTTTCTGAGGGAGTTCGACGGCCGCATTCGCACCATGCGGTTTCAGCGAGCCATATTCGGAGCGGCGTACTCGCCGTTCTTGCTGATCGCGACCATCCAGTTCCATATGGAATAGTGTCCTCCCTCTCTCGCTGTTCCACAGCTCACTCCAGACTTCTCTTCACACGGATGATTGTGTGTCTTGGATAGGATACAGAGCAGGGGCTCGTGAGCTGCTAACTGAGGGCCAGTCTTTCCTCAGTGACGTTGGGATGAAAGTCACGAAATGTTTTCTGACTGAGCTCGTGCTTGATTGAACTCACGCACTGACTGGCATGCCTGAGGACGGGAGTGTGAAGGTTTTCGGACTGAGGTGGCTACCTGATCGTGTTTGAGGGTGTCCGCCCGCCTGGCAATGTTGTGATCCCACCAAGCGTGTCTTGTTGGGTCTAATAGCGAGGCCGTTTGACTCCATGCGGCGTTCGGCTCCCCACTCGACGGTAGCAAAGTGTCTTTTTCGGAAGCTGTGCAGATCGGTCCGGGCTGGGATGAGGTCTTCTAAGCTCTGTGATGTGTTCTTTGACTGGATGAGAGACCTAGAGGTCCTGAAGCAGATGGATATCCTTCGGAGATACTTAGGTCAGGTTGGAACGGTGCGGAGAGCGGGAACCTTCGTGCTTTGGCGACGCCTCGCCGAAGGGCTACGGTGCGTTGGTTTATTTGTGTGCCCCTCGTGCAGATGGCTACACCCTCCGTCTTGAAGTCAGACTTTGAACTGGCTACTGTAACTCCGAAGCCGATGGCATTTCCTTAACCCTATCAGGCAGGCAGTCTCTCAGCCAGGGCTGCGGAGTCGATGGATTTTCGGCGACTCCGACTCCGACTCCGACTCCGGCTTTCAAAAACCAGCTCCGACTCCGACTCCGACTCCGGGCAGAATTGTCGGAGGGACCTGTTTTTATCATGGGTGACCTCAATTGCAATATGCTTGACTCTATGACTAACGCCGGCCGAGCGCGCCTGGCTGACATGCTTGAAGCTTTTCATCTGTTTCAATTCGTCTCACAACCCACATTCTCATCAGGTTCTTTGCTCGACGTTGTGATTTCCAATGCGGGCGACGGTGTTAAGAAAATAGGAGTTTTTAGATGCGCTTTTAGTCCTCATTGTTTTGTCCGATCACTTTTAAAGTTTACGAGATGTCGTCCAAAGCCCTGTCGTGTCCCCACTCGCAAATTGAAGGATGTCGACCGTACGCGTTTGTTGCATGACTTGAACTTCGCTGACTGGTCTAGGGTTTTTAATTCCGTTCCCGTGTGTGATAAGTGGTCTCATTTTCTTTCCGTTTTAGTTCCGATCATTGACAAGCATGCTCCAATCAAATGTATTACTATCAGGAACCCGAACGCGCCACCTGTGACCCGTGCCACCCTCGACCTGATGGCACAGCGGCGGGGAGTGTTGCGTCGCGAGGGCAAATCGCCGGCCTTCCGCGATCTGGATAGGCAGGTCAGGTCAGCCATCCGTCGTGACTGCTGTGCGGGTATCGAGGAGAGTCTGCGTACTCGAGGGAGCGGCTCCCTGTACCGCAGTATCCGACCCATTCTGACAGGGAAGAGGGACGGCGCGCGCAACCTCCCCGCCGCTACACCGGACGAGATGAACGAGCATTTTGTGAGCGTGGGACCACGTGTAGCCGCTAGCCTGGCTGGCCTCGGTCCGCCGCCTGATGTCCCGTGCCGTCTGCCCCGCGTGGGTGCGTGTGGGTTTCGGGTGGCGGGCACGACCCTTGCCGGCTTGCGGGAGGTTATGTTCTCCATGAGGCGCTCCGGTGCGTGTGGGTCTGATGGCATCTGCATCCGCATCCTACTCCTCTGTTTTGACGCCATAAGTCCCATCCTTCTCCACATTATCAACACATGCCTTACCTCCTGTGACTTCCCCCAAACCTGGAAACACTCCCTGGTGTTCCCTATTTTCAAATCCGGTGATCCTGCCATGACCTCCAATTACCGTCCTATTTCCATTGTACCTGTCATGGCCAAGATTGTTGAGCGTGTGGTGCAGAGCCAGCTGCTTGCCTACATGTCTCACAATCACCTCCTATCCTCATCCCAGCACGGCTTCCGTCCTCGTCATTCGACTGAAACCGCTCTACTATCTGTCACAAACCGTATCCTTTCCAACATGGATCATGGTCATATCTCACTCCTATGTCTCCTGGACCTTAGCAAATGTTTTGATGTCATCCCACATCATCTACTCCTTTCCAAGCTAGAACTGTACAACATAGATCCCACTTGGTTTTCCGCTTACCTTTCCGGTCATTCTCAGTCAGTCTCTATCTCCAGTCCTTCCGGTCGTAGAGTGGTTTCAAAGCCCCTTCCTAACACCATGGGAGTGTTCCAGGGATCCGTCCTCGGTCCTCTCCTGTTCACCATCTTCGCTAATGACCTCAGTCTGCACGCGCCGGACGCCCATGTGATCCAGTACGCTGACGATACCCAAATCCTAATATCCGACGTCAAATCCAATCTCCCATCCCTCATCCAACGCATGGAGACCATCCTTGCATCCCTGTCTTCATGGTTCCATGCTCATGGTCTGAAACTCAACGCTTCCAAAACTGAACTCCTTCTCCTTGGTACCAGACAGAACACCCGGCACCTCCCTCCTGTCAGCGTACGGATCGGTGGGGAGACCGTTCAGGAGAGCCGCACTGCTAAAAATCTCGGCGTTATTTTTGACAAACATCTGACTTGGGAAGCACACGTGACCGACATCGTTCACAAGTGCATCGGCATCCTGATCGGTCTCCGTCACCTGAGACATTTCCTCCCGCAGAGGGCTCTGCTCTCAATAGTTCAGAGTTTGGTGCTTTCGCGAGTATCTTACTGCATCTCAGTTTACGGGAACGGATCCGCGGCGAACGATGCTCGGATGCTCAAGGTTGTCAATTTTGCAGCGCGTGTAGTGACCGGTCTTAGGAAATTTGATCACATCTCTCGAGCGCGAAATCAGTTGTGTTTTATGGTGCCGCGGCAAATGCATGATTTGTATACCTTGACTGCAGCCCACAAGATACTTGTCAGTGGAGAGCCGTCCGAACTGGCCTCACTTTTCCAGTGCTTTTCCGACGCGCGCAATTGTGACCGGCCAACTAGACAGGACGGGCGTCTTCGGCCGCCGGCTTTCCGAACCGTGACCGGACAGCGATCTTTTAGTTACCGAGCTGTGACGCTTCTCAACCGCCTACCAATCGAGACCCGAGCTCTGGGCCCGTCTGCTTTTAAGCGCGCTGCCAAGTCGCTGGTACTGCAGTAGCTTTTACGACCGTGTGTGCATGAGCGGTGTGCGTGTATGTATGCTGTGTACATGTTGCGTGACATCCCTCCCACCTCATTGACACTTTGTTTTATCTATCTAACTTAAGGCACAGAATAGCCACAACCATGTGTGGAGTGTCTGTTGATGTAATACATACATACATACGTCGATTCCGACCGACTCCAACTCCCGACTCCGACTCCGCAGACCTAGCAGGGCTGCGGAGTCGACAGATTTTCGGTGACTCCGACTCCGGCTCGGGTTTCTAAAATCGACTCCGACTCCGACTCCGGTCACAACTGTCGACTCCGACCGACTCCGACTCCGACTCCGACTCCGACTCCGCAGCCCTGCTCTCAACACTGGCATTTCCTTAACCCTATCAGCCAGTGATACGTATATGGAGGCTATCGACACTGAGTCCGCCCAGGCAATCGAAAACAACGTGACACGGTGACATTTCCTTCCACCGGCGGCCTCTCGGGCCGCCAATCTCACCAGCTTCTGCAATCGCCCGCCCGAGTGGCATTGCTAAACCCGTGCAAAGACAGGCAATACCAGGGCGCAAAGAACGCCTCACTCTCAAGGGGCACAATCGGCCTTGATTGTGGCCAGGGAATGGTGCAATGTTCCTGCTGTGACTCAGTCCGCACAGAGAACCCGTAGTTTAAAGGGACACTCCCACCTTAACATTAGTTTTGAGTTGAGATAGCCAAATTGGTGGCCATGGCCTGCAAATACCGGTTTGGGCACTCACAACATCGAAAAATGCTTTAATTCGAAGATATGGAATTTCAAACTTGCAGTTTTCGGATTCTAAGGGGTTAATGCATTGGAATGCCCCCTTAGAATTTGTGACGTCAGCGGAGATCTAACGATTTTTAAATCTTAGACTAAAACCATCGTTAACACGTGGTGGTATACGCTGCTTTGCGCGCAACGTCTGCCGCACTTTAAGGCTGCCAAATTATTGCTTCCAAATAAAGTCGCTAGTAACAGGGGAGATCCCAAAAAGTAAACAAAAGTAAAAGCCTAATATCTTGAAAACCAGTGAATATTTTTCGGTGAAATTTGGTAGATATTCGTTTTCGCTCTTTCTGAACCAAGGGACATCACTTTCATGCCAATTCATTAACTTTTTTGAAGGTGGGAGGGTCCCTTTAAGCTTTAAAGCGACTGTACTGCAGTCAATTAGTTCAGCTGACCACTGACAATGACTGGATGGACATGCTACCAACAGTTACCGGGTAGCCGATACAGTAACCTCACTAAGACTAACCGTATGGTCTGGCTGGGTCAGCTGTGTGTAGATCTGCCATCTCCTCGCCGACGTCGGTTCGCTCCGCCGTGTAAAGTCCTTGCTGACTAGAGTTCTCTCTCACTTCCCAGTTCATCCTCCAGCTAGGTGGGCTGGGTCGTTCCCCGCGTCATCTCCCACTGACCATGGGGTGGCTCCGCCAGGGTGTCTTTTCCGCTGACAGTTGGGTTCGCATCTCCTCCGGCAGGTCCGCAGACAGGGCGAGATCATCCAGAAGATCGTGCATATGATCGGACACAGCGTCAAACTGTACGACATGGTGCTCCAGTTTCTACGTACGCTGTTTGTCAAGACGAGGAACGTGCACTACTGCACCCTGCGCGCGGAGCTCCTGATGGCCCTGCATGACCTCGAAATTCAGGTGAGGTCAGCCGTGCTGGGACGGTATGCGTGCTGGTGGGGTCGTGTCATCTGCTATGACTTCCAGATCTAGGTGAGGTCAGCCGCCTCAGGACGGTATTGGTAGGGTCGCGAGAGTAGAACCGTATGCCATGACCCCGTATACTAGGTGAGGTCAGCCACCTCAGGACGGTGCATGCGCTACTAGGATTATGAGAGAAGAACAGGCCGTAGTGCGTGTCTCTTTGTCTGTGCCTGTTCCTAGCTGTTCAATGGCCGTATATCAATCAGAGTTAAATTTCATCTTTACTTTGTAATTGAACAATGCATATTACATCTCTCTCGCTCCAATATATTTCCCTGTTTTCTCACTTCCTCTGGGCTCTTACTCGGCGCTCACTCTGGTCACGACTCACAAGCTGACCTTTTGTTTTCCCTTTCCCTGCACACAGGAGATCGTTGACCTGGACCCGTGCCACAAGTTCACCTGGTGTCTGGACGCCTGTATCCGTGAGCGGAGCGTCGACACCAAGCGAGGCAGGGAGCTGCAGGGTTTCCTGGACAGCATCAAAAAGGGAAACGAACAGGTAAATTATTTTTAGCACATACGAGCTGGGAGAATGACTGACCGTGTTGCGACGTGTGATAGTTGGTTGGTGACTGATTGATTGATTTGTCAGGGGAAGACCAAGCCAGATCATTTTACACTCGTTTTTGAAAATGCGTTCAGCCACCACCGTCATGCATGCTTATCAAGTATGCGACCTCTGCAGTTCGCCTGCTTTGCTATCTCTTCTTTGCGATGAGTACCTGCATAAAGGCATTATGCGCTGTAAACCACCCCTCTGTAGCTGGCCTGTTTTGCTATCTCTTCTTTGCAGCCAGCACCTGTGTGGGTATATTGTGCGCTGTAAGCCACCTTTTCTCATGTGCTTTATATTACGACACTGACATTTCTGTGTTTGCGTTTTGTGCAGATTCTCAGCGACCTGTCGATGATCCTGTGCGACCCGTTCGCTGTCAACTTCCTGGCCACGTCGGCGCTGAAGATCCTGACGCAGCTTATCAACAGCGAGGGCATGCCTCGCGACCACGCCGTGCTGCTGCTGCTACTGCGGATGCTGGAGCTGGGCCTGCACGCCTGGGACATGATCGACAGACAGGTCAGCTGGGGTTATGGGGAATCGACAGCCAGGTCAGGGGTCACTGGGGGGGGGAGAGGAAGGGGTTCCAGGCATCTTAGCCTTAACCCTCCATAAGCCGGACCTAATGGTTTCCTATACACGCGCCGGCCGAGGGGGGCGGGTACGACCCCCCTCGCCGTTTCGCCCCTGGTGGAGCTAGCGCGTCGCGGAAAAAACGAACGTGTGCGCCGTTACGAGACGCAGAGATTGGTACCCGATTTTAAGGTCCTAGGTCAACCGGTGACCTCTGAGGTCAGGTCAAGTGCCCCAAGGTACGGTTCAGTTTTTGGTGAATAACTTCGCAAAAAACGGCCGCAGAGCCGCGATTTTGACAGCATCGTGTTCGCCTCGCTCAGGCGCGTCGAATGATATACTTTTTGTTCGGGTCAGGTCAACTTGGGGTGTTGACCTCAGGTCAAAGTCAGGTCAGCACCCCCAGGTCACGAAGTTGGTCGAAAGAGGTCATGTCGCATATCATTCGATTCGGCAGGTCTTCCTGAGTCCATTGGTGGCTTTCCCGAGTCGCTAGCTCAATTTGATCAAGAGTTATTGACGAAAAACTAATATGACCTTGATGACGTCATAAATGACGTCACGCAAGGTCAACATTGCAAAAGTGATGCATCTAAACTTGCAAGGAGTGCATCAAATCACGATTCTGTGTGCTTGAGATAGTTGGAGATCGTTCCCGGCGCCAGAATAGCAGTTTTCATTTTTTCCCATTGACTTATCCCGCGCCCCGTAGGGGGGGGGGGGGCCGAAACGGCCCCTCCCTGTCCTTTTCGGTCGATATCTCCTAAACGGCTGGAGATATCGCCACTAAACTTTCAGGACCCCTCCGGGCATCAATTTTACACATTGTGACAAAAAAATTTCCAGAGGCTATGATAGGTTGGCCACAAATGACGTCAGAGTGACGTCATGTTCTGTCATTTTCGACCGAAAAAAGACCTTCGCGAGAAGACCTGTCAGGACTACAGCTTTGAAGATACAGAAAATGATCAAGACATAAAAGGTGTAGAATTGACAGGGCTACAAAAGTGCTATCTCGAATTTTTGAAATTTTTGAGTTTTGACCCCCAAAAATCAAAAAAGCATTTTTTTTATATATTCGCCAAAAAATCCAAAAAGTTTTTTGAGTTTCGAAAAAACGGAATATATGTGATAGTGCCTACCGTCTTCTATCTACATACCAAATTTCAGATCGATACCTCGTTTTTTGGCCAAGTTATAGCGAAAAAAAACTGTTCAAAAATGATGACGTCAAATTTTCAAACTCAATTTTTGGCAATTCTAGAACTCGTAGAGCAAAACGAAGACGACCATTAGACTCCCCGTGACGAGCTGCATCGAATCGATACCCATTTTATGCAAAAATATCAACTTTGAAATTTGACCTAATTTGACCTGACCTTGACCTGACCTTCACAAAAACGTGACCTAGGCTGGCCCCAAAGGCTGCCTAACCCACATAATCGCATTTGTCATGTAAAATCTATATTATGAATTATAAGTTGTCCGTGCAATCTCCATCCATCCGTGTGTCATGTCTTATGTGTCTTATTGCGCCTGAAAGGCGCCGCGTATCGACGTGAAATTTGGCATGCCGAATCGGTGGGTTGATGTCACCTCTGTATTAAAATTTGGGGGTGATCGGGCCAGGGGTGCGCCGTCGGCACGTGCAAAAGGGTGCTCCCATAGGCTTAACACGGGGACGGCGAAAACCGCCAACGGGCGAAAATCGGGCCTGCAGCGGGACCTCTCCCGGGCTTATAACTCGGCAACGGGTGGGCGCAGCGAGAAGCGGTTGTCACCACTGGATAGAGGAAAGATGGAACTAGCGTATCGAAATGGTTTTATAGTATAGCACGCGCCACGTGCAAGACAGCACCCCCGGTTGTGGAAAAATGACCGATTTCGTGCATTATGGGAAGAAAACCGATGCCGCTGGAAAACGGCTTGACGGAATGAAATCGGTGTGGTGTCATTTTGCAGACAAATGTACGCGTAATAATAGGAAAGCAAATAGAAAATGATGCTCCGTACCATTTCTTTAATAATGAAAGATTAATTTGAAAATTTAATTCGCGCGGAGCGCGGTGTCCTTTACAACATCAAAACGTATTGAAAACGCTGATCAATGGCCATGAAACCTACATATTCGGAAAGAGCATTCTTTTCTGACCAATATCCACCCAAAATATTATCGAAAAGTCAATAAACGTTTGTGAAAATTACTCAAGAATACGACCGTGTTTTGTTAACGTTACACGTATTTTTCGACAAAATCCGATCGATGGCTTATGGCCGTCAGGTCATTCCACTTTTCACAATAGCTATCAAAGCATGGGCTGCAATGCACCGCCCGCAAAGGGGAATTCCAAACACTGAATATAAGCTCCTACCAGTAAACGGCACATCATTGTACTAGGAATAACTCAGCTGCTACTGGGCCGATTGCGCTGAAACTTGGACTGTGGGTGGAGGGGGCACTCATCTGGCGATGCATGGTCATGTGTGACAGGTAGGGTCGATCGATTGCACGTGCGCACGTGAGGGGTCCACTTATACATCTCGAGAACGGCTGGGCCGATTTCGCTCAAATTGTGTTCACTGTTGGGGACAATTTAGAAAGGTGGCTGGCACAAGTCATCTGGAGTCTCGGTTAGCGCGTGCGCACGTGCAGCGGGCCGCTTTTATATCTCAAGAACGGCTGGGCCGATTGCGCCCAGATTTGGTACGTTACTTTAATTAAGTGTGAGAAGGGTAACTACGTGTAGGTTATTAGTAAGGTAGGGTATGGGTAGGTTAGGGTAGGGTAGGGTTGGTTTGAGTTCGATAAAGGCAAACCATGAGAAAGGCTCTAACAACCCGCAACCAGCACCAGCATAACATGCCGTTCAAACAAATATCCAACTCCGACAAAATAAGACAAATAAAAATCATAAGCTCCCACACCCAAACTAATGCCCCATCAAATGCATCTATCAAAACGCACAGTTATAGCGCAAAATATGCCATCTAGTGGACCATAAAACATGTATCACACGACACATTCATATTGTGACCCCCGGTGACCTGACCTCGCTGTGACCTGACCTGGTATCAGTGACCTCAGATAGCAAAGTATGTGTTTGACGAACAATGTACCATCGATGGTTTTCAATAAATTACCAATTTACTCGCTTTCACAGCACATTTCTTGAATTGCCTGTGACCGGTGAAAATCTGACCTTTGACCTGACCTGTGACGTCATCGGTTTGACCTAGGTCAATGAAATTTGGTCACAAGGTAGTTCCCGGGTGGGGATATCGAACGCCGTTTGAATTTTGAAAATCGGCCGGTAACTTTCCGAGATCTTAGGGGGGGGGCGAAACGGCCCCCCCCCCTACGGGTGGTAGGGTCCGCCGGTAGCCCTACGGGGCGCGGGTTATAATGGTGAGGTCACGAAAATGACCTGACCTCATATGACCTTTAGGAAAAATCCGAGATAAACAAGTTGTGAGACTCATAATGGATACTAGATCCTGCAAGTTTCATTTCCCTGTGACATCTCCTCTGGCAGTGAGGGCGTTGCGAAGTTGCGACATCTGAAGACCGTGCAGAGGTTCACTATGACGTCATACGTCAGTGACCTGACCTGACCCAAAAATGCGGTTGGTGTCAAAAGATCCGGCTTGGATCAAAGGTCAGGTATGCCAAGTTTCAGCTCTCTATCGCCAGCGTGTTCGGAGCTATCGCGAAAAAAACCCTATGGGGGGGCGGCACCCGCCCCCCCCCCCCTCGGCCGGCGAGGGTTAACTGCCGGCAGTCTTTTTTAAGGGACTGCGAAGTTCGAAGGTCGCTGGCTCACTTTTTTGGAACCCCTGGGTCCCCTGCCAGAGGTTTAGACGCGCCCGTCGCTCGATATCCGTATGTCTGGGGGAGGGGGCTTATCACCCATTCTATCTCTTCACGTGTCCGTGAGGGTATTCTGACATCTTTGCAGCTAAAGCCTTCGTGTATTTTGTAGCCCTCGTAATTTGCCTCACAGAAGTCTCCGTACTTTTGTTATCCTGCGTTTATATTGTGTGGTGCTGCTCTATCCTTTCGTTACGCTCACAAAATATATTTGCCGTCCTTCTCACTAATTACAGGATTTTCTGCAGATATTTAATCAGGAATTCTGTGAATCTCTCTCACTCTCTCCTCCCTCTCCCTCACTCCCCTCTCTCTCTTTCCTCCCTCTCCCTCTCCCTCTCCCTCTCCCTCTCCCTCTGCGGCACCCGGTGACCGTTCTCTCACCCCCCCCCCTCCCACCCCTCCACAGGAGTTCCGTGAGCCGCGGCTGGACCCGCAGGTGGTTACCAAGTTTGTGCCCTCGCTGGTCTCCCTGATTGTGGACGACCAGGTGCGGGCGCTCAACCAGCGCCTTCCGCCCGACGAGCGCGCCTCAGCCATCACCATCATCGAACACTCGGGTAGGTGCTGGGTCAGCAGTGAACTGCGCTCGGTGCAGACGTCGTGTGTGTGCGGTGTGGGCTCCGAACGGATACAGGTGTGGTGTGTTTGTGGCTTTATGATGATGTGGGACTGTTTTTATTTAGCGGTGGACATAGCGGTGGACGGTTTCGGGGATCTGTTGCGACATCATTGCTGGGACTATCCTTTCCCTCCGTGACAGGTGACAATGAACAACTGACTTATAAGGTTATGATCCATGTTTCCTTGTCAAGACTACTGACATATCGTCAGCGTTTTCTTCCCCCTAACGGCTGTCCGGTGACCTTTGTGTGCTCGTGACCTGCCTGCTGAGTGCTGACCTGTGATCGTCGCCGTCCGCACAGGTCCGCCACCGGACGCCTACCAGGCTTACATCACCGAATCGAGCGTAGCCTGCCTGCTGGCCGTCTACTACACGCTGCAGACGGCTAGGAGCCGCGACCGGGTGGGCCTGATGCGGGTACTCGGCTGTCTCTCCGCCAGCGAGGGAGACCGTGCCTTCGAGGACACGTTCCTGCACTCGCTGGTGAGTAGTGGGCTGTGGGTGACAGCGGGGAGGGGTGTAGAGTGATGGGGTCGCGGAGGGAGCTGTCTCGTACAGCCTTGTTGTGAAGAAACGGTTAGATATGCATCAGCCTGCCCGGACTTCGCAGAGCTTGCTGGTTCGCCTTTTGAAAACGTATGCTCGTTAGAAGATATTGACGCCGTGTCAATGCCGTCAGTAATTGATATTTTTCAACAATCGATGCGAACAATGCTCGATAGCGTCGGTTCTTGGTTACAAACATGAGCGCCAGGGCATTGACCTTATTTCCACATCTGGCCAGCATGAGTTTTGTTTTACCTCGCCCGAAATATTTATCTCACCACTGCTACTGTTTCGCGGTCACCAGTTGGCGTTCATCGCCTGCTCCGCAGGTGACGCTTCTGATCGGACTTGTTACCCAGGCGTCGCTCCTGATCGATCTGACTCTAATTTACTATTCCCCCATAGGTGACGCTTCTGATCGGTCTGACTCGCTCTCCAGGGGACGCTTCTGACCAGGTGACTCTTCAGATCCGTCTGACTTGCCGTTCCTCCCCAGGTGACGCTGCTGATCGGCATGAGTGACGAGCTGGCCACGGAGGACTTTTGCACGGTCATTTTCGACGAGTTCTTTTTCACGGCGCTGTCCAAGGAGAACGTGGTGCAGCAGCTGGGGAAGCTGCTGTGGCACACGCACGCCAAGCTGCCGACGGCGCGGCGTGACACCCTGATGCAGGCGCTCCACCACCAGCCCAACCTCAGGGTGAGTGGCTGGGGGGGGGGGAGAGGGAGGGGGTCAGTTCTGCCCAGCGGCCCCGCTCCACCACCAGTCCAATCTCAGGGTGAGTGGCTGAGGGCGAGGGAGGGGATCAGTTCTGCCCGCTCCACCACCAGTCCAATCTCAGGGTGAGTGACTGAGGGCGAGGGAGGGGGAGGGATCAGTTCTGCTCTGCCCAGCGGCCCCGCTCCACCACCAGCCCAACCTCAGGGTGAGTGACTGAGAGCGAGGGAGGGGATCAGTTCTGCCGGCTCCATCACCAGCCAAACCTCAGGGTGAGTGACTGAGGGCGAGGGAGGGGATCAGTTCTGCCCGCCCCACCACCAGCCAAACCTCAGGGTGAGTGACTGAGGAGGGAGGGATCAATTCTGCCCGCTCCACCACCAGCCCAATCTCAGGGTGAGTGACTGGGGGAGGGAGGGATTGGTTCTGCCCAGCGGCCCCGCTCCACCACCAGCCCAATCTCAGGGTGAGTGACTGGGGGAGGGAGGGATTGGTTCTGCCCAGCGGCCCCGCTCCACCACCAGCCCAATCTCAGGGTGAGTGGCTGAGGGCGAGGGAGGGGATCAGTTCTGCCCGCTCCACCACCAGCCCAATCTCAGGGTGAGTGACTGAGGGGGAGGGCGAGGGAGGGGATCAGTTCTGCCGGCTCCACCACCAGCCCAATCTCAGGGTGAGTGACTGGGGGAGGGAGGGATTGGTTCTGCCCAGCGGCCCCGCTCCACCACCAGCCCAATCTCAGGGTGAGTGGCTGGGGGAGGGAGGGATTGGTTCTGCCCAGCGGCCCCGCTCCACCACCAGCCCAATCTCAGGGTGAGTGACTGAGGGCGAGGGAGGGGATCAGTTCTGCCCGCTCCACCACCAGCCCAATCTCAGGGTGAGTGACTGAGGAGGGAGGGGATCAGTTCTGCCGGCTCCATCACGTCCAGTCCAACATCAGAGCGAGGAACTGTCGTAATTAGGGGAGAGGTGCCGCCGCCGCCAGTCACTCTCCCATTGACCCTCATCAGGGTTCCTTTTCTGGGGGGTGTGCTTGATCAATGCCGCCTTTTGTCCGTCATAAATTGCGTAACTTCAATTTAATCCTGAATGCCTGGCTAATTATAATATTGTATAACCAGGTATGTAGCTACATATCATCGAAATGCGTATGTCAGCAAAAGACTAGGATTTGAGGCATCATAAGTTTTTTTAGTGTCAAAACATTGTGAATATAAAAGAAATTGCAAAAAAAAAATTAAGTTTCTTGTTATTGTCGTGATGCATTTATATGCGTGTACTTTTCCTCAACTAGTTTGTTTCAGGGTGTAGTTTTAGTGCTAACAAAATGTACTGATTAAATGTTAATTCGGTACCTTGGGGAAAGATGCCCCCTGGCCCCTGACCTGATAGGGAAAGACGCCCCCCCCCCCTAAATCCGTGGGCTGCCCTTCAAGGAACTCGTCGAATCATTTAGTACATACTTGTGAAGAAAGACAAAAAGTCGATTTGGGACTATTGAGACTGCAATACGGTCAGGTGCTCGCCATGTCGGTCTCTTGGCCCATATGCCTACTTTTTGGGCGGTATCTGACTCTGAGAGCCCTCACGACGGCCTCTGTGGGCCCCATTATTAGCTCCGAGGCCCCTCACGACACTCTTTGGGAGCTCCCGCGCTGGCTCCACGGGCCGCGCTGGCATGTGAGGTCCCCACGATGGTCTTGAAGGCCTTCAAGTCTCATGAAGACCTATAAGGGCCCCACAACGGTCTCCGAACGTCACCACGGAGGCTTGTTTGGCCGCGCTGGACTATGATGGCCCCCACGATGACCTCTGAAGCCCCTTGCGATGACTTTTTTTGCCCTTATGATGGCGTTTGATTGTCTACCGCAGACTCGAATGTAACTGATTCGTTCAGGCAATTCACGTGCCCATTTTTGTCACTTATAGTGCGGAGGGGCATCTTACCCAACCGCAGGGGGCGTCTTTTCCATCCTCTTGGGTAAGATGCCCCCTTGCACTTCTTCAAGAAAATGATTAATAGCAAAAAAGTTATCATATTTCAAGCACAAAAGTGTGTTATTTTGTGGAGAAAAATGATGTCGGGTTCCGTTGAAACTCCAAGTTTTTGCTTTCCGGTTGTCATTTTTGAATAATTTATGACATTGCAAACCCCTGGGCATCTTTCCCCACTCTCCCCTATACTGGCGGACAGTTTGTAGCCCTTCAGAAACACTCTTTGAGCCTCCTTTGTGACGGAGCCAGGAATCTGGGTGTACGACGCGAACGGTGTGTGTCTCCTTCCACACGACACGACCCCCCGTTCTTTGCGCCCGCCCGAGCGGCGTATCTCCGTCCGCCGTGCGTCTGACACCATCCCCGTGCCGCTGCCGCAGCCGCTGCTGGAGCAGCTGAGGGAGAAGATGGAGCGCGACGAGGGAGACGTGGAGATGCCGCCGCCGGCGCCGCCCGTCGACTCACCGCTCATGTCGGTACCGACACCTGCGCCTCACCGCGGTGACTACCCGTGACCGACGCCACACCGCGGTGACTACCCGTGACCGACGGGCCGTGAGTCGTGAGAGCCACTGACACTCACAGATGGCGGCACCGCTCCGCGCTGTCCCTACACCGGTAAGCGGTGAGTTCCACCTCGGACGATTGAGGACACGTCGAACCCAGGCCTGTGCTAATGTGGCGGCTGAATACCACCGGATCTCAGTGACCGCGAGCGTTAACTGGTGCGGAATCTCACCGACTGCAGCTCCGGAACTGCCGCTCGGTCAGGTGGGTTGAGAGGTTCCAGACACGGTTCATGACGGTACTGCCGTGGTGGACTGGAGAAAACTGCCTGAAGGACCTGTAGGCCGACCAGTGGGGTATCTGGGAAACGCAGCGGAAGCGCCCGGGAACCGAGAGACTGACGGATGGAACCCGCCAGTCGCCTGTCAGTGTGCCAGTGCGGTTCCGTCTTGACCATCGTTGTAGGACACTATAAAGCGAAGCTGGTGTGCAGTGTTTTGTTTTGCATGTATGACCTGATTTCATCATTAGTTTATCGCGTTGGTGACGGAATGCTAGTATATTCATCTATATCGATGAAGAAAATACGAATTGAATGTGCTATAATCGATCATTGACGGATGCTTTCTGAGTTTGCCGTCTTGTCCATCGTCATGCATCGTACCTGTTTTGTAAATAAAGTAAATATAAAAGAACTCTGTATCTCTTAGTATTTGTTACGCATTTTGTATTTACAAGGTTACGACGTAGCACGCAAAGAGAAATGGGAAAATATAGCCATTTTGCATTATCACCAAATTTTATTGTAGGTACTGCTTTACGTATCGCCTTTGGTGTGTGAGTGCGGCCCGCTGTTCTGCCTGAAATCAAAACGTTTGCCTGTTGCGCATATTATATTTATCGTCGTTTTGGGGTTCCGTCGTGGTAATCGTATCCTCGTTTCACTCGTAAACTCGTATCCTCGTAATCCTCGTAAACTCCCCGTAAACTCCCCCATTGGACGCCACGCTCGACGGTGGACGGTATCAGTGGTCGATTCGGGCATGTGTCCACCCGTCTTGACCGTTATGATAGCGTATCTCCTCTCAGCTTCTAGGTCGTATCTAACAATCAGATCGCGACCCCTGTTGTGCCTACTGTGGCCGCTCTAAGCAGACGAGCTGCTCCCTCCAGAGCTGTGTGTGGTCTAGTCCAGGACTGTCCCACCTCTGCGCTGCGAGCTGGTAGGTGGAGACGCCCCATTCGATCGAGACCTACTCACCTAGCATCGGTCGGTCGGGGCGATAGTGGCCCAGCTGTCGAGCCTGCGATAACACGACTGATAACGCCGCCAACGCCGGTCGCGAACCGCGTGAGGGACGCTAGCGTCGGTGACTGGCAGCGACCGCTGGGCAGTGGTGACCGTCCCTTACGGCGCCAAGGGTCAGGGACGGACTGTGATAGTGCCAGAGTCAGGACTCCGACTACGAGTTCGTGATAGTGAAGAGTCAAGAAAGTGACTACGCGAATACCAGGATAGTGAGTCAGTTGAAGCATCTGGCGGAATGATATCGAGTTTGTGATTGTGTCCCGACGCACATTGCATTGTGAGTCATTGACAGCACAGTGTCGGGAAAGTGTTGCGAATCTGACAGTGCGTAGAAACAGTGATTCCGTAGAAGTCCCGAGCTGAGAACAGTGAACAGGAACAGTGAAACCGTGACAAGATTGGTGTCGGACGCCGGGGCTGTGCTTTGTCGGGCTCTCAGCGAAGGCGTATCTGCTGTGCCCGTTATCCGCAGAGGTAGTGGCTGTGTGCTTATGTGAGGCTGTGGCAGCGGCAGTGTTCCAGTAACAGGGCCACCAGAGGCCGTGTGCTGGTGAAAAGTGAGTGCCGCAGCGGCTGTGGCGCTCCCCTGAGCCGCGGCGGGTCGATCACCTGCCCGCCCGCCGCCGTTATGTCTCAGAAGTACCGTGCCGAGTACTGCAGCTCGGACGACCCGGACGATGTCGACGAGCCGACCAACTGCTGCACGCACTCGGAGCCGTTCCGGCCGAGCTGCTGGGACTTCAGCGTGCCGTTCCTCTACGTGGCCTCCATGGCGGCCAGCCTGCTCAGCACCATCCCCATGGGCCGGGTGACGTTCATCTGGCAGAACCGCGCCGGCCCGGCCAACCACGCCATCTGCCCGCTGCACGCGGCCGCGCGCGACCGCGAGCACTGGGGTCAGTACGGCTCGGCGGCCTGCTACGCGGCCACCTTCCTGCCCGTGGCGCCGCTGGCCATCGCGCTCTGCCTGTGCGTCTACCAGCTGGCGGCCGTGGTGTACGCCGAGCGGAGTCGGCAGCGGCGCTCGCCGGCCGGCGACACAGCCGTCCTGGTCGCCACACTCGTGGCCACCGTCCTGTGTCTGGCGGAGGCCGGTGTCCTCACAGATGGCGTGCGCAACACCTGCCTCGGATTTCAGATGGAGGACTTCGTGTATGAGGCGCGGGTCCGCTTCAGCAGCGTCGACGAGGTGCTCTCGTGCCGGCAGGGATTCGACATGCGGGTACGTTTGGTTGGCTTCGTGCTGGGGAGCACTGGGATGGTGGTGGGGAAGGGTCTGCTCGGGACGTAGAGCTGTGCTGTGTGGATGGCTGGGAACCTAGGACTCCCACTCTTAGGGTATTGAGCGGGAGAGCAATGTTCGAGAGGGGTTCGACGTTCACTGGGGTGATCATAGACCGGCACCTTCCGGGAATGCCGTTTGAAAGGGAGATTGTAATGATCCAGGGAAGTGAAGGCGTGTCATTCCCGAGGAGGCGATGGATCGTGGATGGATTCTTTGTACAATTGTGCTCATTCGCTGAGGCTGTTACGAACTCCTTCCTTTGAGGTGAACTCTCATAAGCAAGGCTTCTATGCGGGTTGGTTTCAGGATTTAGCTTGTGATAACTCTCGCTGAATTGACGTTTCCTCACCTGCCGCCAGGACCGTGACCACATGATCACGGCGATGAACACCTACGGCCAGCTGATGGCGGCGCTGGCCGGCAGCTGGCTGAACGCGGCGCTGTGGCTGGCGCTACTCACCGCCGCGCTGCGCCGCGCCTGTCACTGGTGCGGCCAGTGCGGCGGCGCCACTAGCACCGGCCGCGCGCCCATCAAGGTGGTTCGCAGGAGACGGGGCTCCCAGTTCACTGACGAGTTCCCCGAGATCGCCAGACAGCGCCGCGAGTCGTGGGTGTGAGCTGGGGAGGCGCCGCGAGTCGTGGGTGTGAGCTACAGAGGCGCCGTGGAAATGACTGTGCGGACGGTTGTTGCCATGGATGCACTGCCGCACTAATGTACGGTATGAAAGACAGGGACGCTGCAGGGCCGAGCTCCAAGCGACGGGTCACATAGAGGCAGCAGACCATCTCCTTCCTTGGGAGTTACTCCCGTGGCTAGTGAACGAGTCACGGTGATGACAGATCACAAGGGCGTCGCAAGTCACAGTACTTGAAACGGGCACTGAAGATACTGAAACTGACTGGCAAGGATACGGCGATCCCAGTTTGAACGGCAGTCGGCAGGATCGCCGAGACGACCGCTCCTCTTGACGTGTTATGACAGCTCGGTTATTCGCGATGTCGACTGCCAGAAATATGGATTGGTTACGAGTGACGCCAGCTGGGCTTGCTCAAACCCCCGGCTCGGCAGCAGCTTCGAGTGATGTCGGCTCTCGATAGTGACGGCAGTGACGTGCTGTGATGGGTGACGTGGGAACATGCCGCTCAAATGACTCCTCTTCCGTCGACACGGTGGTCTATGATTGCGAGTTGCTACTAGTGCGATGCGATTCCACCATTGTTCGAGCAGTGGCCAGTGCGTCCGTCTCGTCTTCTGGTTTGGATGTTGTGGGACTGTATAGAGCGCGGGACGTGCATTTGGAACCGATATAGGTGATTTCACCAGTTAACATCAAACCGTTACTTAGCTGTGAAACGTTTGTTGTCATTTAGTTTCGGGCCGTCACCTACCCATTTCTAGCACATGTAAATCCAGAATCGACTTTCGTGCACCGCCATTCGTCAGATCAGTGGCCCAGACTGCCGTAATGGTCGGTTATGTACCGCCTCACTTACTGCCGAGCAAGGATCATGAACTATTTTGTGCCATCGTGGTTGTCAGTTGTAGCTGGTAACTGGCTGGCAGCGAAATCCACTGCTCGCGGTTAGACGAAACTCTACAGTTGTAGTTGTTTGTTTATTGCCATTCCGGTCTCCCATTAGTGTGAGAAATGCTTTCGGGTGCTCGCCAAAGACAAGCCTCTTCCGGAGAGAGTCCTGAAAATGCGAACTGCGGGCAGTCAGCGCATGGCGACATGCTAATCGATACTTAGCTGCTTTGGAGACGTACAAACATGTGTACATTTACTTACGCACATACATGTGTTTTGTGTGCCTTCGTACCTTAGCAGGATTCACTGTGTTTGAGCGTTGTGGCTAAGCGAGGATAGTCGTGGAACACAAAAGTAAATGATGCCCGCTCCGTAACAGGAAAATGTGTAGTACGGTCAACTCATGTCCGACCTCGATCAAGCCTGTCTTTTAGGTACGTTATTGAGCGAAAATGAGTTACAATGAGGAGCAGGCCATGAGCTGCCTTCAACACATTCGGATATTGTGTAGGGTGATAAACGTACAAATGCATCATTTCACTCAAATGGAGGTGTGCTCGCTCACTCCGGTGTCTTTTGGGCTTGTCTCCCTGCATACAACGGATCCGTTTATCGACCATAACCACTGGTATGAACGGACCAGGCGGAACCTTATACTTTCTGTGCCCAGTCTCCGTGTCTTTCCTGTTCAGTGATGCGCACCGCTGCTCGCCACCGGTACAGCTGAGAGGGGGAGGGGGCAGCTTCCTCAACAGAGGCGGTCCTAGCCTAGGTAACACCGGTCCGATATGCTACCTGCTTTATCTAAAGCCTAAGCCCTCGACCACTGTCAAATCTCCCCAGCTTGATCAATGATCGGTGCAGTTGGGCGGACAGTGGGACACCCGCTGTACTGAGTGGGACCATCCGGCCGGCGCGGCGGCGCCTCCGGTCCGCCAGTCGAGCGGTGTCTGTCCGTCGACCGTGACAGGCCGTCACACCGTCCGTCACACGGGCTGCAGTCGGTCACCGCACAATCCACCGACAGGACAGGTGAGCTCTGCCGACAGGACACAGGTGAGCTCCTCCGACAGGACAGGTGAGCTCTGCAGACAGGATACAGGTGAGCTGAGCTTACCAACGGGATTGGTGATAAGATAAGTGAGCTCTGCCGTTAGGAGAGACAGCATCATCTCCGGACGGCCGTCTCACCGAGTGAGCCGTTTTAGTCTTGGCCCAATATACGAGTACCTAACGCATTTTGTCCGTCCAACTACCCGACACGGGCCGGATGTTCAGTCATGCCCTTCCTCGATGCGTAGGTATTTGATAGCTCTTTAGCACCTGATTACCTCACCCAACTGTTCACAGTGCTTGTTACACCAATGCAGTAGCGCCAAGCGGCGCTCAGTAGTCAGCTCAGCTTTCCCCCTCAACGGTTGACGAAACATACACTTCCTCTGCCTACGAAACAGCCATCACCATTGGCAGGGCTCAGTCCGGCGTCCTCGTTAAATCCGTCGCCAAACGGTTGGCCCGGCCGGGAGAGGCGGCGGCGGCGCCGTCTGCCCCCTATTTATAGGTTCTGGCTCGGACCCCGGCTGACCTGTCGTTCGGTGACCGGCACGGGCAGTGGTGCTCGCGGTGCCGGCACGACAGCACGAGACGGTACGTGAACCGACACGGGGCGGGCGACGGGACTCATGACTCCCTTCCGACGGGGCTGGTTTGTCCGTGAGCTGAGCCCCGCTCTGCAGATTATTGATCAGGGCGGGTCGGGATTCGACGAATGGTGACCCCAGGGATAGCTGCTGGATGGGGATGACTGAGGACTGAGGGGAGGGGCTCTTAGCGACCCTTTGCTCCTCTTTGGATGTGCTCTCCCGGCGCCGCCTCTGCGCCCGACAGTGTGTGACGGTCTGGGGTGATTCAGCCTCCGTGTGAGAGAGGCTCCGGCCGGCTGTGCGCAGCCGTCAGCCGCTGCCAAAAGGCAGACTGACGAGCGGGCTGGGCTCTGAGAGGGCTCCCCAGTCACAGTGTCGGTCGGCGCGCCAGTTCGTCGGCTCGGGCCGCCCAGCCGCTGTGAAAAGGGTGACGGGCGTTGTTCGAGTGCGTAGTTTGCAGTCATGTTTCATCTCATGTACAAGTTCATGGATAGCATGGTACGTTATTTTAGCATGATTTATGTCTTAAGGTCGGGACTCGGGTACTCCTAGCACGATCCGCCTATTTCAAGTGACATTGGAGTCTGCTCATTTTGTGACAAGTAACGAAATCATACTCACGTTTGAATTATCTTTTATTTTATTCCAGCTTCTTATGAATGCAATTGCAGCAATTGATGATATTTGCCTACATCTTAGCTATTTTTCTCCCAATAAATATTTCATATTTGCAAACTCCCAAGCTAGTAGATGCAAGGGGGTAGAGGTAAACCGGGGTAGGTAACTTCATCATAGGTAAAATTTTTAATATGGAATCCCTTAGGTGCTACCTGGTGCTACCATATCACCTGTCGCGCCATAAATGTCACACTTTGTTTTCTGCTGCGCTGCATTCGCCCAATCTGAGTTTTTGTGTGTGCAAGGCCCTATATACCAGGTAGGGTCGTCCGGCGATTCTACCTTTTCGTGACGTCAGCTCGTGACGTCATTTGGAGTCAAGTCTCGAAGCCCCGCTCAATCCCCATGTAAATGAGCGATTTTCGAAGCACTGTAGAATGAAGTCTGCACAAGATATATCAAACCTAAGTATCTTATCTGAAAGAGCAGACAATTTTCTGCAAGTTATCTATTACGTGTTTTTCGCTAAATCTTTTGCTTTTTTCACAAAAGCGTAAAATGTCCCCCCATGTCTCCGCAGCCTCCCTGCCGCCGGCCGCCGCGCGGTCGCGGTAGTGTAGTGGTTAGCGTGCCCGCGCAGTATTCCAAAGGTCCCGAGTTCGAATCTATGCGGTGCGGAACTTTAATTGCAATTCCAAGCTGAATATACGCACATCCATAATAAATTATTATTCGTATAGCTAAACTGTCACCAAGCTATCCATATAAATTGACTTCAACCAAAATATCGGCAAGATTCTATTAAAATATAAATTCAAATATGGCGGCTTGGACTGCCGCGTGCGTTAGGCTCCGCCCATAGCTCCGCCCACATGCGTGACGTCATTCGTGTTAGTGGACACACGCGGAGATAGGGGACGACATGGGCCTGTGTGTGTGGAATGCGAGCAATCTCATTGAAGAATAAATAAATAATGTGTATTTCGTGCATGTAACATTGACTTCATCGCTAAGGCAAGTGAGGCCTCATATTGTTCGATTTTCTGAGAGTTAGAAGATCAATTGCAGCTTGTATGCTTTTTCAAGCTTGATGTAATTCCTGCCTAGTGCCTTTTACCTAGAGGCATATAAACAAATAAACAATCCTATTTAGCTTGGTAATTGCTTGATGATAGTTAAAAAGGAAATAAATCATTTTAATTTTATGCTTTATTATTATTTTGATGACCTTAACTGTACCTGAATGAATAAGTTGTGTTTTAGACCTTGAATGCCGTTTAAGTTAGGTTTCCCGTTTCTGTCTAAAATGGATGGCTCCGAAGCTGGAGTGCTATCTTGTGACTGTTTTCATCATGTCCATCAATTTGCCATATAGGAAGTCATTTGACTATGGTTCTCATTTCTCAACCTCTGGTAAATGGCACGTAGGTAGGTACCTACCTTCGCCACATGTAGGTTCAGTATCCTGTGAAGTGTGACCTAGTCATAAATGATGAGCTGAGACCAGTTTTATCAACAGAAAAATAGCTGCCCACTGGAATTTTTTGCCTAAAGACAGCTTCACATACAGAGCGTAAACGGTAAAGCCCCATCCGCTTACGTGCCCAGGGCGTATTGAAGCAGTCTAGGCAAAAAATTCTGGCAGGCGGCTATTTTTCTGTTGGTAAAACTGGTCTGTTTATTAAAAATATCAAGTAACATGCTGATGGAAATGGCAAATTTTGCACTTCAGTAGTGATGGAGCAGGAATGGTAATCCCAGGGCACTAAAGTCAGTAATCCTTTGTGTCAGGCATCATTGCCTACCACTATTACCAAGTTATGGGCAGATCATGTAAGATGCACACTGCCTGTGCAATGCTCATATGATAAGGCAATGTTCTGGAGATAGTTACCTAGTTCATATGTGTACGAACGAGTACATGCATTATACTTGAATTACCCCTGCTATTTTACTAACCCCTGTTTTTATAAGGCCCTTGTATTTATACAATACTAAATCCCAATCCTGATGGTCTGTTAGAATCATGTTTAACAAGTTTCATTAGTTTTCTACCCTTCAAACCATTAGATATTTTATTTCTTAACTATATTCTGCAATCAATTCAGAAATTAAAGTTATTATTGTTACAGTTGTGCTCAAGTTATTTTAAATTGATGTGATCTGTTTGAATGCATTTTAACCCTTATATACAACTAACACAGTGAAAGCATGCCAGTCTGAGCTACAGTACCTTTTGTGGCAATTGGCAAACATGATATGCTTTTATTTAGCAAGTTAGTTTCATGTATCATTCATGCAGTAGTAACCTACATTTGCACTTTGTATGATTTTTCGTTTGTAATTAGTACCTGACTTAGAACAGTTCATAGCAGCAAAAGCATGTTAATGACCTCACTGTAGTCTTTACTAATGTGCATTTCTGTCTGCTGCAGCATCCTACTCGGCTGCAGATCCTACCACCTTCCTGACGAGGTGTATACCTAAACCTCCTGTAGATCCACCACACACCAGAGAAAATGGGTGGATGCTGTGGAAAAAAGGTATGTTGCTATTGATTGAACAGAGTTTGTCACCACTATGTGCTTTATATTCCTTTGGGTGTACCTATGATCTCAGTCTTTGTCACATCATGCATGTGGATGCATTTGCATATGCAATATGTGGGTTTTATTTATGAGTGCACCTATTGATGCATTACCACAAACATCGGAAACGGTGCTGCATGCGATTCTTTCCATTGCTCTGCGTTGAGTGATGAGTGATCCCTGCTCCACATTTTGCGCACTTCCTGCATCGATAGCATCACTCCCTGAAGTACCGTGATAGTCACACGCTGATTAGGAGTCACAATTGCTGGCGGCTACCATCGACACACATTCCGTAAGTTAACTTTATTAAAGATATGCCATTTTTATTGCATAAAGTGGTGGGTTGTAATACACATGATTTCTGCATTCATTGAACATTTCTCCATTTATTGAGATGTCGGAGCATGGTACGTTTATCGGCGTTGCCTGTTTGCCTGCGCTGTGTTTGCGGCAGGCGTAAATGATACGGGACAGAACACACGGATGAGTATGTGCCGACAGTAGCCGCTTATTACGCTACCTCGAACCTCCTTGGACAACCATTGTCGGTCAAAACGCGGGCTTAATTGATTGTAACTGCGTTATGCTTTATAGGATGTTAGTTCACTTCCTTTTCATTTCTTACCTCGTGTCATGTGTTCTGTGAGTGGATGTGGTAATTTAAGCCCGGTTTTCCGTAAATGGAACATCAAAAGAATAACGGCATTGATAGCCACCATTTTTTCCCACATCGTCGTGCATTTCCCGCATATGGACTATGGTGCCAACATTTTAATTTCCTTTTACCTAAGGTTGTTGCACCAGGCTACATCGAATAGCCTTCCCTAAAATAGAAGTTCACTCGAGGTCTACGCCTAGACGAGGCAAAAATGACCAGACTAGCACTGCAGACCTTTCTCTTGAGTCTACATTACGTCACCTCCCCTCCTAACGTAACCTCTTATATGGCCTCGCGTTTGTTTGCTTCATCCTCATTTCCCTCGCGTATAACCCATTACCCAATGATACCCAACTTAACTCTCCCATAATGGTCCCGTTTTTTTTTGAAATTGTGTTAGGATCGTGTCCGGACAGAAAGGGTAATCCACGTTGAATAATCCAAGTTCTCATTATGACCGAACAGTCAGCTATTCGTCGAGCGTTTCCTTCTTTATTCTCGGATTTGGATGTCGTAATGATAACTTTGAACGGTCGTCTGACCCCAAAGGCCAAACATACTGGCTGCAACTTTCTGCCGTCATGGCAAGTTAGCAAGTCGGAACTGTGATCTGAAGACTACTAGGCATGACATAGCTTTGTTCGGCAGGGACGTGTAATTTATGCAATGGCATGTGCATGTCACTGGCCGTTATGGCACCACATGATTCGTCTTATCTCTCCCTTCCTCCCCTCTTTCCATCAGCTCTCCTACCTCCTTCACCCTCTCTTTCTTCCCGCTCTCCTCCTCCCCCTCTATCCATATCTTGCCACCTCACTCTCGATGAATCAGGCCCGAAGCACCCAGTGTAACGTGTGAACCTCACGCACCGCGGAGTATGTGAGTTGTCTACCTGCACATCACGTATCCCTTTCCCTCCCCCCGATGACCACCACGGTGTGGACTTTAGTCACGCATCACGCACTAAGCAGTACGCACCCTTGTTCCTCCACGATAGCTGTCACGGTTCCTGACGGTTACCGTTTGTTGCAGCAACGTCTGGCCCAGGACGCGGCTGACAAGCTCAACCTAACGCGTACGTATGCTTTGCAGATGGCAATTATGAGGAGAAAGGAATGTGGTCAGGTTTACGTGGTTCGTATTTTGGAAAGTTGAGAAGGAACTGTAATTCATTCATTCGCTCTTTATGTTTATTTGTATTGTATTGAAATTAATTTTATGTAGTTTTCTCATTGTTGAGCATTTTATCCGTTACCCCAATCAGAGTTTCAGATGCACCCGCTTTAAGTGTTTCTTTTAGGTACCGCATGCCTCATAGTCCCGCCTGTTTCACAGCTGCAGAAATGGCGGAGCTCCTGGCGAAGTCCAACCTGCCTGTTATCTTTGTGCTCGGTAAGCAAATGAACTTTACAATATGGTTTTGAGCTGTTTGAAGAGGCACATAGAAACTTCGCAGACGGGCAGTCATATTGTGAACGCATACAGAAAAACGTGTCGTACTGGGTTTGTTTTCGATCGAAATCTGAACAACTCAATAAGAAACTTTTTTTTACCAAATATTCATTATCAGCAATCGCCAATTCAGTAATTATAAATCCACGAATTGAAAGGATTGCGGTTGGAATGGCGAGTGCTCGTAAGTAACCTTACTCAGGCAGTGCCTTTTTTCTGCCCAAGAATAAAACAGAAGCTCAGCTGCCCAGTGGTTGCTTAATTTTGTTTTCACTAACCAGAGCCATCCGGCCACCAAGCCTGCTGGGCAATTTTCACTAACGCTATACTTTTGACCGACAGGCGGCCCCGGCTCGGGCAAGGGTACCCAATGTGAGAAATTGGTGGCCAAGTACGGCTTCACGCACCTGTCTTCGGGCGACCTGTTGCGAGCCGAGGTCGAGTCGGGCTCCGACCTCGGCAAACAGATCAAAGACACGATGGAGGCCGGCGACCTGGTGCCCCTGGTCAGTGTCCCCCCTCCCGTCGGGGAGGGAACCGCCGGTGTATGAGGGGGGAGGGGGAGAGGAGAGGAAGGGGAACTGCCGGAGGCTGTCGCGGCGATGTGCAGTCGGGGCGGGGGCGGCGTTTTGGCACGGCTCTCCGCAGCGCACCTTGATGTGTTTGTAATTCTGATCGGTGCCAGCTGCCACACACACAGGCATATTGTTCCAGGAAGGTTAGAGCTGGATGGATAGCTTTTGAGTGGGTTGGTTATGCCAATCACTTTGGCACGATGTGGTTGGGTGTACATATGTGTGGGCCATTGGTCTTCCCGTAATCTGTTGGTAATGCACGATATTAATAGGTCCGATTCACTCATCTTCTATTTTCTATCTCCACAGGAGACGGTGCTCCGCCTCCTCCGAGAGGCTATGATCACCTCACTGGAGACCAGCAAGGGCTTCCTCATCGACGGCTACCCGCGCGAGGTGGAGCAGGCCGTTAAATTCGAGGAGCAGGTCGGTATGGGTGCGTTCGGGCGGCTACCGGCGTAGCACTGGTGTCTATAACCTGTTCGGTTGTCACCGCCTCTTGTCGTTCCCTTGCGAGTGCCGTCGTGTACTGTACAGTGGCAGGACTGACGGCCTTCCCAATTGTGAATGTACATTGGACGCTATGGCCGATGCTGTCGACGGTCGCCGCGATTGTCCCCATCCGCGAGTCTATGCATTTTGGAAATTTGCCAACGGCAGTTGTTACTCCCCCTGTGCGCGTCTATCCATAGCTCATGAAGCGGGGATCTTGAATGGTCTCTCTCACCGCCACTGATTGTCTCCACCACTGCAGGTGTGTCCCTGCACGCTGGTCATCTACTTTGAGCTGTCGGACGAGGTGATGACCCAGCGGCTGATGAAGCGCGGAGAGACCTCGGGACGCGTGGATGATAACGAAGAGACCATCAAGAAGCGCCTGCAGACGTTCCACGAGCACAGCCAGCCGGTGGTGTGCCACTACGAGCAGCGCTGCAAGACGGTGAGCGCGTCGAGTCGCATAGGGAAGAGCGGAGGGGTAAGGGTAGGGACATGACCGATGTTTCCGCTTTGGTCTGTTAGTGATCACTGATCACTTACGTCGCAAAACTTCTTGATATCTTTGCCGTTACTGCTCGCTGAGACAGACCGGCGAGAATCTCAATCTCCCCTTCTTGCGTCCTGTACTTCGCTGCTGTTCTGATCCATCCGCAGTAATTTCTCCCTTCGACGCTGTCCCCACCCATCAGGACGGATGTAAATTTTTTTTAAACTACTGCGCGGAGTCGGGACGTACTGGGCTCGCCGTTGAACTGAGTGCGGTGCCGGCCATGTGTCGTCACTTGGCGCTGACGGGTGTCCCCGTTTTTATTGGCGAAGCTCGTGATGGCCGCCTGGTGTCATGCCCGTCGGTGGCCTCATGGGTGTCTGAGCTGCGTAGCTCTGCTAATTATGAGCTGGTAGCTAGGATTGGCCGACTCATTCATGCCTGGGTATCCCAACGGCACTTCAACCACAGATCAAAATTGGGGGAAACATTGAACAGCTGCAGCAGCCTAATGTAGCGTCACTTAATTTTAGCTCTCTCAACTTGAGCACTGTCCTGGTTGGCCTCTTGGTCTGTATTCCAATTTCCAAGTTCCAGCATTGTCACTCTTGGACCCAACTTTCTGCCATTGACTATTCAGTTTTTTTTTTTGTACCGACCCGGGCTCCTTCAGGTTGCGCCTCCATATTCTGTTCCCAGCTGCTGTCTCTGCCTGAACTGACTGACCGCTCCTGTCCCCAGATAAACGCCGAGCGTTCTGTGGATGAGATCTTCGAGGACGTGTGTAAGGAGGTGGACAATCTAAAGTGTGGCGAGCAGCCAGCCGCCGAGTGAGACCCAGCTCCCTCCCGAGCAAGCTCGTCGCTGCCGGGTGCTGCACGTCATGTTCAAGAACTGTTGTTTCTGTTGCTTGCTGCGACTAGCCGGGGGCGTCATTGAGCTGGTCGCAGCAGTGTTTGTTCAGTTTTGTGCTTGCTGCAGTCGTGAAAAGCAGCCGGCGCCTGCCGTACGATTATCAGAACGCACGTGCAGGACCGCTGACGGCTGCCTGCAGGTGGCGATAGGTGGCGCATTTATATTGGTGACACAAATTGTAATCGCTGTGACGTCTTTCAAAGGTTGCACAAATTCGGTATTGTGAAGCGGATTTGGAGTTTTATGAAAGTAGTGGGCGCCCAGAGCTCATCACCAGAGAGCATACAACGAGTTTTAGAAATGGAATGGGCGCCCAAAGTTTACCTGCCGGCACTACAGAGCTAGTGTGTCGCTTACGAGCAAATGAGTTCTGTACCAAGCGGCAGAGAGATGTTGCCTTCGCACAATCGCAGCTCGCTGCTTCAATCGGGGGTTCATAGTCATGCCTGCCCACGCAGCTCTAGTCACCTCACCGCCTAACGGTAACATCTGGTCATATACTCAGCACGTCCGTGTCCCTGTAGTCCTCCCCCCCCCCTGCAGCGACCTGTCCTGTCCCGGGGAGGCCCCTGGTCCCGTGTTCTGAATCAGTGTCGCGCTGCAATAAATCCATGTCGAGTTGTCACAAATACACCATGACATTATGTTCTTATATTGTCTACGATACTATCACTTTGGCTGCTCATCACACCGCCTTGAGCTCCTGCAGCAACTTCTGTTTGCCGGCGAAGTACTCACGGAACCACTCGATGTGATCGTGTTTCTCCTGCACGGTGAGCCACGGGTTCTTTCCGAGCGCCACGCAGACGAGCTCCATGAACTGCCGGATGGGGCCGCGCGGCGGACACCACGGCTCCAGACGCTCCTCGAGGAACACGTGCTCGTGGAAGCCGACCTCTGCCTCCTGGTCCAGACCTGGCGGACGGCGGGACGAGCGCGCAGTCAGACACCGAGTCATCGCATATCAACAGGCAGGGGGACCGAGACGGGAAATGGTTCAGTCACCAGACAGACCAACGGCAGGCCGAGATGAACGGTTGGTCAACGAGACATATAGAGACGGGCGATGGCTATCGGAGATATGGATGGGGGAGGAGAGGGTAGACCGGGATCACCGGATATACGGACGATAGATCGAGACGGGAAATGGTCGTCAGCCAGAAAAACGACCACCGGTTCATCAGGCCCATTCTTGGAATCCCAAAGCACCCTGTTGGGACGGGCAGCGACATCATACATTACATAACCACACCTCGAGTGATAATTCTGCCGCTCTAACATTTAAACGAAACTGGTTCCCATTTAAGATTTAATTTCAATATAGGGATATTTACGGAGCGAGCGAAGCGAGCGTAGTCTTTCCTTAGATTAACGGAAATTTCTGAGTATGAGCGGCCGGCCGGCCGGCCGGCCGGCCGGCCGGCCGGCCGTGCGGACGCTTTTGCGAGGCTTATATCTCAGCAACCACTTGACCGATTTACACGGGGTAATTTTTGTAGGGTAGCTTCATTCCTTCTACCAAGCATTGGACTATTCCCGATGCATGTGGGTGACCCCTTATGCACGTGCCACGTGCAAAACGAAGAGGTGTCAGTTTTGTAATTGTTGCAATATCTCGGTAACTACTTGGCCGATTGCGCTGAAAGTTGGCATGTAGGTAGGCACCCACTAGGCACTGCATATCCATGTGCCAGAGTTGGGGTGCTGCTGCACGTGCGCACGTGCAGGGGTCGTTTCCAGATCTCGAGAACGGCTGGACCGATGGCGCTCAAATTTGGTACACGGCTAGGGACCAGTTAGTAGGGTGCCGTGCACAAGTCAGTTGGGACCCATTTTGCACGTGCGCACGTGCAGGGTGCCGCTTCCAGATCTCGAGAACGGCTGGGCCGATTGTGCTCAAATTTGGCACATCGCTAGAGACCGGTTAGTAGGGTGCCGTGCACAAGTCAGTTGGAGGTACCCCCTCGAAATTTCGCACGTGCAAGGCTCACCCTCTCGCTCGCTCCGTTAGTCGCCCCAAAAGGCGCTATACTGGTAGAATATTAGTCATTCATAGATATAAAGCGCACCAGAGACCGGTTGGTGTTCTGAGGTCTATGGGCCATTATTCTCTAGCCATAACCTGAGCCGTTCGAAACCGGTACTTACCCTGTTCGTTGTTAACGGGCAGGTGCCAGAGTTTGCCCTGCTCCGTCCAGACGACCATCTCCTCCCAGGCGTTGGTCGGCGGGTGGGCCACGCTCAGGCGCAGCTCCCGCGCGTGGATTCTCTCCCAATGGCTGACTTGTGGCGCCACCTCTGTAAAGGGTGGACGCCGTACGGTCAGTCTCCGTGCGGCACAAACGACCCGCATCGTTCTCCCTTCGGGTATCACAGTCGAGCAGGGCAACGTGTGCCGCCAGTCTAACGCCACATGACTTAACGTTACAGCTGCAGAAACCGTGACAGAACAGCGCACACCTGCAGAATCGTCCAACCGCGCACACACATCGAACAACAAGCGGGCCTGACAGAGTCCGGTCACCCTCAACTCACCTGTGGAGGCTTCCGGGGGCGGCAGGTTGTCAAAGATGCCCAGACGGTTGCCCTTATTGAGGTCCACGTCATCGATGACGGATCCACCTTGTCGCGGCGCGGCCGGCGGTCGCTCTCTGCGCGCCTGCCGCACGGTCTCGGCACGCTGGTCGCCCACCTGACGACGCACCTGCTGGGAGCGACCGGGACGGTCCGCCTCCGCCGGCCGCTGGTCCACCTTCATACCGGACATCAGCTCACTGTGGGCGCCACAGGGGGATCCGTCAGGGCTGAGACTGACCAACTGATCACAGCGGGAAAAACAGCCCACTGCCGGCACCACGGGCGATCCATAAGCGTTACAATCGCACGGAAAATATCCAGCACAACACAAACAGCAGAGAACTCAGCTTGCTACAGCTGACTGCGCCAGCATTTCCAGCATTCCTCCTATGCATCACTATAGCTCAATACTCACCTTAGTTGTGCCTGACCGGCGGCTGGCTGTTCCGGGTCCCCGGTCAGTTTCGTTAGCAGGTCGCGTTCTGTCTGTGCTGGGTCGCCTGACAGCGAGGAGGCCACCTCACGGGCGGCCGCCGCCACCTGCTCGTCTGTCAGACAGGACAGGAGACTAACGTCAGACAACGCGTACAGACGGACCGGCGACGGACAGACTAAATATCTATAGATAAAAAGCGGTACCGGCGGTGGACGGATCAAACATAAGATAGAAAGGTCTGAGCTGACAACGGACCGGACCAGACAGCAGACTAATAACAGACAGATCAGACACACGAGAGTACCGCCTACCGGCCCCACCGAGCCCCTCTTGCCGAAACTGAGTCCCTCTCACCCCACTGAGCCCCGCTGGCCCCCACCGAGTTCCGCTGAGCCCCTCTCACCCCACCAAGCCCCGCTGGCCCTGACCGAGCCCGTTCGCCCTCACCGAGCGTCGGCTGCCGCTGAGGTCGGTGCGGCGCCCCGCTTCCCTCCACCGCCGCTGTCGGAGCGCGCTTCTTGTTGGGTACCACGTTCTTGGGCCGGGGCCGGCCGCCGGGTCGGGCCAGTCGCTCTGACACGCCCTGACCCGCGCGGTCGGCGGCTGACGGTGCCACCGTGCGTTGCTGTTGACAGTCACACGCCGACGGTTACACAGAGCGCAGACAAAACAGACCGGAAATCCGAAATACAGAGCAGATAAGAAAGTGCATGAACTCATCAGCTGCTGCGTTTACCTTACCACTTATGAGCTAAGCTTCACTACCGATTCAACAGCACAGTAACTGTTCCATTGGCAGCAAACACAACCACCTTCTAACTGGTTGATATCTTGATAAAATTGAGGTCCTAAATAACTTTTCATCTTTACATTTTGCTGATGTGGGTATTTGTTAAAGTTGCATCATAACAGTAAGATTATATGACACCACTACTGTTCAATTATATGAGCAAAGAAGTTTCAAAAATATATGTAACCTAAAGATACCTTTTCAATGGACTCTAGCAGGCTATTGAGTTTTGATCTGGCCTCTTCTTGCTTCAGCTTATCCTTGTCCTTTGGTGTGGCTCTATCTTGCTTGTCATCAGGGACTTTTGGTCCCTCTGAGCTGAAGTTTCTATCATCTGGTGTGTGCCATCTGGTGATACCCAGCCTGTTCAGCAGACATCTCATTAGACATTGTTACATGACTAGCATTTTTTTTCATTCTTAGCCCCACAAAGTTTATCCAGTCAAATGGAACTCAACTTTAGTAGATATCTTGAGCAAAAATGGCGCAGCTGAAGGGTAGAACAAATCATCTATTTTTTCAGGCATATGACAAAAAAGGCATTTTGCAACGTGACTCAGCAAATGCAATATTCATCTTGATCTTTCAATGATTTTAAGTGACAGCAAATAGGATTATCGCATTCTACCACACATACTTCTCAATTGGTATTTATGAGGTCCTTTGGCAATTCAAATTGACATACCAAAACCACATCTCAATCTCAATTTTGACTGGAAAGGTAATAAACATAACTCATACGATCACATAGGAATAGTTCACACTTAAAACACAGTGACTGTCGACCACCCACTTGAATAATTCAAATGGCATATAAATTTAAAGGTATGTAAAACTGAAATGTTTTATAGCTACTTTAAATTACAAAAAGAATGAATAAAGATGACTTACCAGGTTGGCCTTATCACGGATACGCCCCTCCTCAAGCCTGGTCCTCGTAGAACGAATGCCATTGTAAATTAAAGTATGAATTGCTGAAGTGGTAAGTAGCTGCTCACTTCAGGGACAAAAAAAAACATGCACTTCTTAACAAAAATAACAGTCCCCAAACCCCCATGCCATGGGTGGGGGGCTGTGTATCATTTTCGACTGTCGCACATGCGGATCATATGTCTTAATATAAAGCATTTTCATTCATTGTTGACGTCATATACGAGATATTAATCAAAATAGATGTTATTTTGCAATTTATCTATCATTAAGCTATAGTTTTCTGAATTTTTATTCTTATGTCTGGTACAAATGAAGACGTTTGACCGAATGACTGAAAATTTTACAAAAATATAATTTCTTGCGTAATTCTAAATACCTAAATCTAAGCAAGTGGATTTAACATGATTTAGCTCATTTCGATAAACCTTGACCTGTTGTTTTCGCTGCGGAGTAGGGGAACGTAGAGGAGGTTTGCTTGCAAGCTTGGGCTGTGAAAGCTGTATGGGGAAGGGGGAAAAGTGGGACTGATAGAAAAGGCGCTGCTGGAAACGTCTAAGATAAGAAGGTGCAGGTAAGTTCTTTATCTCCTAGGGCTAGATCCAGTCATCCGGGCGAGGCACGTGGTCTCATTGGCGCCTGGCGGATCCTGATCCTGATCAACATCAAGGGCCCTGTGAATTCACACCCGGCAGAATATTTGGTACTCTCACTCGCCAATTCATGCTATTGCACCTCCCATGAGATCCCCACAACAAGAAACAAACGCCTCTCAGTTCAATCACTTGATGCGCTTTTATGCTAATAGTAAAACAATCATGATCATGAAAATCCATCATGTCATTCTGTGGCAGAATATTCTGTGTGATGTCATGCTTTGGAAGCTCTGCCTCCTGCTCCTCCCACTGATGTGATGCCT